GTGGGCGCGCGAAATTCTTTTGTTGGCTCACCCGCGCCGCGACGCCACGCCACGCCGCGACGCCGCGCCGCATCACTACGCGTGCAATAAACCTTCTCCCGCGGGGCCCACGTCGCACAGTGGATTGAGTCAGCCAAAGAGATCGGACATGATATTCTTAACTAAAACTACAAATTTTGATGTTTAAATTGTCACATTACAAATTTTTAGGGGTGCAAATAGAGGAAAATTTTACGAGGAAACCAATGGAACCGCTTTCAGAACCTAAAATTTTTGCATACACGGAGTAGTGAGCTTTTTAAGTTTCCAAATTTTATCCGACCTCTCCTATTGACTCGATCCACTGTGCGTCGCGCGCCGCGTCGATCAGCTGTGACCGACGCTCGCGCGTCTTGACAGCCGGCACAGCGATGCTTTAAAATTGGAGGCTGTAAGTTCTCAAGATGTTCAAACAAGTACAGCAACATTCTGGAAGTCTTCCACAGTTTTTAGCCAATATCTAGACGAATTCATTGATAATTAGTCGGATTTTTCAGGAGAATACTCGTTTCAAATATTCAATAATGAAATAATTTACACAGCGAGAAACAGGGCAAATTATCACGAATAAAACCAAAACGTTTTGGCTAAAATCTCAGCCTTCCTCAGTTGAATAAAACCGAAAATAAAAAAATAAAAAAAAAAATTAGTCATCTTGTCAGAGCATCTAAAAAGTGTGCGATCGAATTTTTAAAGAGGCGTCTCATATTTTAATTCAAGATTTTTCTTTGGTTTTAGTTATTTCTTGTCTTCAATGAGGTCATGTAAAAATCTGTACCAAAATTCAATCGCACTTCCACCCTCTCCTTGTTTTTGAGTGTGTAAAATCGAACACTTCCGCATTATAGAAGTCGTGGCTATAGGCGAGGAACAGTCTATTTTCCCTTTAAAAAATGGTTATAGGAACTTCCGCCTCCTTTGCCTATACCTTGAATGACTAGGAATAAGGTCCCAATAACGTCAGTTACTTTTTCGGCAACTTTCCATTTTATTTTGCCTGGCAACGTCGCGCTTTTATCCTTTCGGCGCATCATCCTTGAGCATTCCCAGCACGGGCATCACGTACCTCCGCAGGGGTCGGTGCGCTCTCAATTTTTACGCCCCCCTCTCCCTCCCACCCTCGCCCGCATAAATTTCCGACCTTGACAAATTCGAATGAAAGGAGAGAGGCCTCCTCACGACTCGCAATTTTTCTTTCTTTTTCTTTTTCTTTCTTTATTTTTTTTTTTTTTTTTTTTTGAAGAAAAGCAACTGAACTTGGAGAATACTATCATCGCTGGCGGCACGCTTGAACGACACTTCTTTCAAAACAATCGAACAAAATTCGACTATTCACGTACAATCAAAGCAGCGCTTCATTTTCGCTTGAACATCCTCGGAATGTATCGATTTTTTCGATGGATCGAAAATTACGTGTGAGGTTGAATGCCCGGAGGCAGTTTGTTTAGATTTACTGAATCGTGCAGTTTTTTAGTGTTGTGATAGAGTGGATTTTGATGCGGTTAGAGATGGGGGAGAGGTTTGGATTATTTTTGCGATGAATAATAAATACAGCAAAGACAAGTTTGACATGACATCCGTCACAGTATCGTAGGACTATTTGAAAGTAACTAACTATTCTTGTAAAAGAGGGAAGATTATCGTGAGGCACAGTAGCTATGCACTCCCCCCTTCCCCTCGCGCAGAACAATTGAGGGATGTAGGAGTGTAAAGTCTACACACGACTCTTACTTGTGTTGCTCAAATGACCTAACAGTACCCATGTCCGACACTTGAAAAAGTAAACAAGAGTTACCTTCAAAGTGACGGGGTCTTTTTCAAGAATTGCAATGACTGTCAGATCACGATGAGTTACATCCTGTGCATTTAAAATCTCATGCTTTTGACTGTCCTTTTTTTTTACTGTGGGGTAGTATAAAGTAAATCAGGTCTTATTTGACGTAAGGAAAACATTCGGTCGAAAAGTATCACGTGCCACCGACAAAATTCCTCCCGCACCATAAAACTTCAGGCCTTGAATTTGCAAAGTATTAAGGAACCAGATGGATAACATAAAGACTCGAATAAAAAGTAAGAAGCCCAAATCTCGAGAATGCAGTACTGTGTCATAACTCATCCAATGAGTCACGCCTCACGAACGTCTCAGGAGTGTGTAATTTCCGTAAGTTTAGCGGTATACTTTTCTCTCATACTTATCACTCCAAGCGAATCCCGCGGATTAGACGGGTTTCCTTTTGGAGCCGATTTATTTACTTTTTTTGAGCGATACGTAATCTCGACCGACGGCAGGTAAAAAGTTGAGTCACTGTGAGCTTTACCGCCAGATTTCCAGCGTTGACAAGTTGATCGGTTAAAGTCAATATTTTTAAATTAATATGTGAGGAAAAAGATGATTCTTTCCACAGTCTGGTGTCGATGTGGAATAAAAGATTCAATTAGTCATACGAGATGGATTGAGTAGAAACTGTCGATTTTACCTGACCTCCTCTTTGGTGAAAAGATATATTTTCGTAACGTCACTTGATCTTCGACCTACAGAACTAATTTTTAACCTTAAGAGATAACGAAAGAAAGTGAATCGGAATCTCCATAGTTGATTTGTTTTGTTGTCTAATAATGAATTAAAATGAAAGTTTTAGTGTCTTGAGCCGTCGACATGTAATGGCATGACAAAACATCATTTTTGATTTTCAGCGCACAAAGTTTAAACTTTTCGCATCTTTTTTTTCTTCCTTTTTTTTTAGATCGCATTTTGGTGCAAAAAAAATTCATAGGTATAGCTCGTCGTATTGTTCAGCATACCGAAATCGTTGAATTGCATTTCCACCTAAATACTCGCAAAAAAATGCCCGTTCATACCGTTGACATTGGTGTATCCCTGATATTATTCAAAAGATTGGGTGGGCCGGGTGGTATCTTTATCAAAAATTTCTCATGTGAGGGTCAAAGGTATACACTTATTTAAAATCACGAAAAGTAACTTTTTTGAGGACGATTTTCCGATCTAGGGGGAGGGTCTAGGGTCCAGGTTCGAAACGATCGCAAAGGCGGTATACTACGTATACGCGCCAACACATTGGATATAGAGTCCAGACTCTTGAAAACATTGACAAGAAAAAGGACTCTAGATTCAATCAGATTTAAGCTTAAATCAAAAGGAAATCCGCTCAAATTAAGAGGCTTGGTTCTTGATTTAAGCTTAAATCTGATTGAATTAAGAGTATTTTTTCTTGTCGATGTTTTTAAGAGTCTGGACTCTGGATCCAATGTGTTTTTTTCCAGTGCTGGATAATGAGTTCCTCTGATTAATTCCAAGATCGAAGTTACATCTAAACCCTTCATCGATATTTTTAAAAATTGGCAGCATTGGATGGAACTCAGGGATGATTTATGCGTTCCGCGCGTCGATAATTGAATGAAGATATTCGCACTTGCTCGTGCGATATTGTGCAAAAGTTCCGATCCAATGCAACAGAGTTTCTTGATGGATGTTGGACGCTTAAGAGGCGTTTCGCCATGACCCCGCGTGACGGCCGCTGTCTTAAAATAACATGTGCACTCGAGAACAAATACATCGGATTTGTTCTGATGATTACATCCGCAGATGCCACTGAGACCCTGGTGTTATGATGATGTGACTGGACGTAAACTAATAGATTCGTGTAATTTACTCGCTATCAAGGCCGATTTTCTCCTTTAGTTTTCTAAACACCATAGGGCCTTATCTCCACGGGATTTGTCCCAAGTTCGAATCGCAGGAATGAAACTTCTGGGATTTTTCCCAGTTACCGTCTCCACGGGACGGGACTCATACAGTCCTGCGACTAGTTTGCGCGGGAAGATAAATTAGTTAAAGTTGAGTATTTAACCGGGATTAAAATAATAATTGCACTCAATTGACAATTAGACACATTTTTTAACTAAACAAACATTAACAATGTAGTAATGAATAAAATATCGCACAATTCGTTTTCACTTCTTCTTCTTCTCTCAGTGGATCCTAGGGGTACAAGTACCATACTTGGTACTGGGAAAAATATCGATTAACTCAATATTTTTCCCAACTTCGTAAGTGGGATTTTTCCCTGGGACAAATCTCGTGAAACGGCTCGTGGAGACAAGGCCTAAGATTTTCATCCTTTCCTTTGAGAGGATCTTTGCTCTGAAAAATCAAAAAATACCGAAAGATTTGCAGAGAATTGGCATAATGGTAGCAGTGGAATTTCTATCATAAATGCACTCAAATTTAAAATGACTGATTTTGAGCTAAATTTTCCAGGAGCCATCTCCAAAGTAACTGGAAAATTTGTAATGCATTTGAAGGGTGATTTTTATTACTTTCGACTAAATCAGACCAAACATTCGCCTAATATTTTGAATCCAGTAAAATTTTGGAGGACCTATACCCACGTAAACTCATCGGAACATTGAAGGATTTTTGCGAGATGTTTTTCTTTAAAATTACGGCGCACCGTAATGTATAATCAGATCCCTTAAATCTCCATAAAACCAACACTGCTTCCAAAGCTTCTATAAAATTGTATGCGAAAATATTCAAACACGGCTGTCGGGGAATTGCATAATCACTTTTTTGAGGGCGACTTTTTCACAATTAGCAAAAATGAGCCCAACCACTTGTTGAGCGTGTTATCTACACTCATTGTAGTATTTTTATGTGGCCTTGCATCAATGCATTATGACATTCTGTATACTTAAATTGAAGGGGTTTTCCACCACAGTAAGTGAGAGACTGCGTCCTTAGAGACACGGTCCGATCCTTATCGATTACTGGCACAGTTTTGCTTTCTGTAACGGTTTCTTAGATTTAGGTAGGACTTCAAGATTCTTATAGCAAAATGCATGCTGGAATATTGCATTTCAAACTAATTTAATGACCTTCCCACAATTATCTATTTTGTGTCTTTTCAGGCTTCAATGACGTTTTATTCTTTTTGTTTCAGATGTATTTATCCCAATTTGGATATTTAAGTCCGTCTGTTAGGAATCCAAATTCTGGACATTTAATGACAGCCGATACCATGTCTAGAGCCATTAGTGAATTTCAGTCCTTTGCAGGCCTCAACATAACTGGTGAGTAATTTTGTACCATCTTATCGCTGAAATGATCTCAAATCTTCTAGTTAAGCGTTGCAGATTTGAAAAATATTTGCGAACATCTTATCTTCTGTCTGAGAAAATGTTTTTTAAAACTTTTGAATCTGCATCGAAATTTTTAAGGAGTCGTCGAAGATGACACTTTAAGTAATGATCAGCTTAAAATTAAGCAAAAAGTCGAGTATAAACGATCAACAACTGAAATAGTTAAAAATCAACGGGTAGACAATCGTCCCCATCCCATTAGAGCAAAAATAATAACAGTCTCAAAAAGCTTGTTCCTTTGTTTTGGTGTTTGTTTTTGCCTTGTGGACAAGGCTTATGAGTTGGACGTATTTCTATCAAACGGAACTATATGCATTTTGACGTGAGCCCTGTTATGCATATATTCTTACGGGTCTCAGGGCTCATGTCTTAATGCACATAGCTCTGTTTGATAGAAATACGTTCAGTTAAAGATCGTGTTGCTGATCGTCGTCGCTCCCGTCGTTGCCGCTGACGTCACTGGCGCTTCATATTTCCCATTCGTTCTTATGGCCCGAGCACTAACGAGCACACCCCATCTTTCTACTTGCACATAGTTCCATTTCGCATAAACACGTCCAGCTGACAAACTGATGTCACGCAAGGTGCAAAAATATGGCCGCAGATAGCTCCATTTAGTTTTTGCACCATCGCCAAGAACTTATCCCGAACGGCGCGGGGGGAAAGGGGGATTGGCGATGAAGCGGCATTATCATTTTCACACCTGGCTTTGCTAGTGACCAAGTTCAAGGTCACGTGGAGTTTCGAAAGAGCCCCGATCGTAGCGGCAAACTGTCTCAAGCGTCAAGCAAGGTGCTCGGTCATGGGCATGATAATGGAGATGAGCTTGTAATGAGCCACCATACCTCGTGACAAGCCACAGGATGCGTGAATGGACTCCTTGTGGCTTCTGCATAAGCCACAGGGTGCCTCGGACATGGATTGCGTTTATGGAAGTAATCGCACAGTTTTTTAGGACTGTTTTTTTAGAAATATTATTAGGACGACTGCTCGTCGACAGTGAAGTAATTGCGTACGAATCCGTATTCATAAGGATACTTGTCTCCGTATAGGGTTCGGATTAGGCAAGGCGTTTTTGACTGATGTTGAACTAAATTTTCCGCTGTGAAAAGTAACGTGTGTGCATGGTGTGGTTACTGAACCCCTCATACTTTTCGTGTTGTGCATTCACTTTTGAGTCATTCATTCATAGCTCCGTTGAGCGTGCGCTTTTGTGAATGGAGTATACCGATATGAGGCTATGTTCCTGTCCGCAAAAGACGAGAATCGTAAAGCCTGACGAATGAGATGTACTATAGTTCATTGCTCTTTATATTTTTCATGCCGCTCCTTTATTCCAGAGTTGTGGGCTCTTATTCTTTAAGTGTGGGAACGAACTAGATATGTATGTTTTGGTATTCATACGAGGGGCGTTCGTAAAGTAAGTATATATCTTTATTTTCTCCGAAACTAATGAAGATAAATTAAAACGGTAAAAAGTGTTTTAACCGTCATACTCTCAGCTTTTTAAAAAGCCTTCGTTTTTTAAATTTGGTCCACCCGTTCGCGAGTGACGTCATTTTTCCAGCGCCCATCTCTCGTCACCGCGTGTCCAAAATATTCGAGCGCGGCGGAGCTCCTCAGACTAGTACATGTTTTGGCTCCGGGATTTTGGGTCGCTCAAGGAATATTGCTCATCAAATTCTTAGGAAGAGGAAAAACGATCGATGCCGCAAGATTTTTTGAAGTTTTGAAAAAAACTTAATTCAGCGATCAAGCGAAAACGGCCCGATCTTTTGTCTCGTCAAGTTTTGTTCCTTCAAGACAACGCTAGACCTCATGTGGCTCATGTAACTAGAGACTTGTTCGCCTCATTCAAATGGGACCTTTTTCCTCATCCATCGTACTCACCGGACCTTGCTCCATGTGATTTTCATCCTTTTCCTGCGTTAAAGAAGAGCTTGGGTAGCCGAAAGTTCTCCACCGACGCAGAGTTGCAAGAAGCTGTAAAAAAATGGTTCCAACGACAGGATATGCGCAATTTTTTGAAGATTGAATCCACAAACTGCTAACACATAATCAGAAATGTGTTCAACTGGGTGGAGATCATGTCGAAAAGCAAGGTAAGACAATTCAAAGCCTGAAAGTTTCACATATTTATCCAATTAATTGTGTTACAACCTTTTTTACGGTGAAAACATGCGTACTCACTCGTCTGAGGAACTCTGCCGCGCTCGAATATTTTGGACACGCGGTGACGAGAGATGGGCGCGGGAAAAATGACGTCACTCGCGGACGGGTGGACCAAATTTAAAAAACGAAAGTTTTTTGAAAAGCTGAGAGTATGACGGTTAAAACACTTTTTACCGTTTTAATTTATCTTCATTAGTTCCGGGGAAAATAAAGATATATACTTACTTTACGAACGCCCCTCGTAGAACCTCTGAACGGAGGTAATCGGCATGCGTATTACTGTCATGGAATGCACACACAGAATCGAAAGAACTAATCGATTTTACCGTAAGCCTCGCATATTTTGGGTCAATGTGTACCTATAGATATGCATGGTCGGAACTAGGAAGTTTTTGTCGAAGGGAGGGCAAGAGGGTACTGCTCTACTGCATTAAGGTAGAGAGTTCGAAGTGACTCTAAAAAACACCCCACCAAGGGAGATCCGTGGGACTCTCCCAGCTCCATAGAAGATTTCGAGGGATTTTTCTGGAAGGGCAGCCCAAGACATCTCAAGAGCAATTTTGAGCTGTTCTTACCGAAAAATTAATCGCATTAATGTTTCAAAGATGAAAGATAAGTCAAAAAATGTACCATGCCCTACCCTACACTGTCACGCCCCTTTACGCTCAAGTTATTTAGCGAAATCCTCCACGTTTCTGCGTAGGGGTCAAGTATTTCTACCAGCCCCTCCGCCCCCGGCCATGCCCTCATTAATTCGGTCCATGAATTACCATTATTTTACTATTTCTATTAATTTTGCCATTTCCATTAATTTTACCAGATGTCTTTGAGATCATCCTGACGGATGGTTAAATCTATCATTTCTACTTCTGCGGTTCTAAAAGATTTGAACCATCCACTCATCCTTCATTTTACCCTCATCCCTTTTCAATTCTAATCACCCATCATTCAATTACCGAAAACAATGACTCCTGCACACTGGCCACAAGTTGCGCCAACTTCCAAAGCATTGTCTCAACCATGCACCTACCCCCCTCTCAACGAAAAATGTTTAACAACGTTCCCCATCGGATGGAAGTTTCCTCATGACATTTCTCGATGATTTTCAATCCCGTGTTCCAGTATGGCTAGTTTAGCATTCATCACAAGATTGTTTCCGGGTCGGCCGATGGACTGTTGACTGTTATCGGTTGGGGGGACGCGACGGTCACGCGCCCCCTAGAGAAGGGTGGGGGAAGGGGAGGGGGAGGGGGCTCATCTGCCTCCCTGGCACGACTTGGCACTTGGATCAGCGTCGACGCCTTCCCTAAGCCCACCTGGGTGTCAAGGCCGTGACGACGACGCCGCGCCGGTATACGCCGCACCGTCACACTTCATGCCCGGTCAGTTGACCCATTGCGCCGTCTTAGTTCTTGTTCTAAGGCGTAGAAAGGAAAAGTTTTCGCTAAAATGATGTCAATAGCTGAATTTACTCTATAAAAATTGTCTAGATTTTGTTCTGTGGTTCCATCCAACGTAGTGTGATATGTCTCTCATAATATAACCATAGCATAACCATACTGCCTGGGAAGGCCATACTGCCAATACTGACAAGGAAAAATGAATCAGTGAGAACGAAAATACACCGACTCGAAAAAATGATAATAATCAAGACACACGCAAAACTGCACAGTAGTTGAAGAAGTTAGCACAAAGAAAAGATGTTTGGTGCTGAAAGGCGAGTACTTAAGGGCACTTTAAAGGTCCAAGTTGGAACAGATGCGTTAACTTCAATTACCTTTATGAAAACTGACTCTCTTTAATGAAAGTTGAGCATTTTTGAGTTACCGAGTTCAAATGAAATGTTGTGATTTGGAAAATTTTAGGCCCAATTTTTCCTTAAAGTGTGCTTTTCATTCTCATCTTAAAAAATGTTTATTATGTCCAAAATTTAGCCTCTTAAGATATAATATTGGAGAGAGCGCTGAAGAGAGTTCCCACAATTCTTAGACTTTCGCGATTTGCAACACCTGTAAAAAAGTCTCTCTATGCACCCATGATCATAACAATGGGTCATAATGGATAAATGGCAAGTTCCCTATACTCAGAACTTGTTATTCTAAACCAATATACATTGGTTCAAATTTGCTCCTCTGTTAAATTTTCACGAGACCCTCTTCTTCTAGTTTTCTCAGTTTCAGTTCTTATTTTCTGTGCAGGCATCTCTAACACATTTCCCCTCTGTTGAGGCTGAATCAGCTGCGCCCTTGACCATCAGACGAGTTGCTAGCTCAACAAACTCTGAGCACCGTCAAATACGAGTCATCTACCCATTTAGGGAAACTTGCTCATAATTCTGCCGCCAAATTAATCCATGGGTTGCCAATTCACACACTTATTCGCGAAAAAAAGCAGCCCCACACAATGTAACAGTTCAGAAAATCTAGTTTGTCTTACAGAATTAAGGTTACTGCTCCAAAAATAAAGAAAATAAGGAGAGGGAAGTACGGAGAAAGTTAGGTGAATCTCACGTGATGTATGAACTTTACTTCTCCAAGAGATTAAATCACGTAACTAACTGTGCCGCTTTTCATATTTGTATAGAGCGAACATCCAAACTGAGTGACTACGAAATATAATGAAATATCGTAACATGTATCAACATCATAGAAGATTCTCTAGGCCACAATAAGAATTTCTTGTTTGATAACATTGTTTTCTTTAAATCGTCAATTGAAAAAATGATGACCTTCAAAGTTTTTTTTTTTTTTTTTTTTTTG